AGTGGGAAGTATGGAGGGGGGAGGAGACATATGTGATACTTTAAACAATAAGACAAGAAAAGAAAAAGAAATGGTGATGTTTAGAGTGTTAGGGCGGCTGAGGCTTTGCGGGGAAGAACCTCATCTTCATCATCGGATACGGGTCGGGGGATGGGAGCTCTGAGTGCCGTCCTGCCCTGGGGGAGGCCCCCCGAGCCTCTGGTCGCTTTGCCTCTAGCCCAGCGGTTCTCAACCTGTGGGTCGCGACCCCTTTGGGGGTCGAACGACCCTTTCACAGGGGTCGCCTAAGACCATCGGAAAACACATATATCATTACATATTGTTTTTGTGATGAATCACTATGCTTTCATTATCTTCCATTTGTGACAATGAAATTGGGGGTCACCACCACATGAGGAACTGTATGAAAGGGTCGCAGCTTTAGGAAGGTTGAGAACCACTGCTCTAGCCTTTAGCCCTTGCGACTCCTGCCCACCCACACGAAGCCCCTCGGGGCTACGGGCAAGCCAGGCTGGAGTCTAGCCTCTGAAGCTGTTCGTGTTCTCTTTTCCGCAGAAATACCTGAAGAAGCAGGTCACGCCCCTCTTCCGTCATTTTGAAAATCTCACCGGTAACTGGACGAAGCGCCCCGAAAAGCTGATGGACCAGTGAGTGTGACCTCCTCTGGGTCTGGGGGTCATGGGGGCCCCAGCCACCCTGACCTGGGGAGTCCAGAGCAACACCCAGGCCGTGTCCCCCCGGACCTCCCCACTCCTGGCTGGACTGGGAGCACCAGGTGGGGATGAGCCCCCAGCAGCCGAGGCCCTGCTGTCCCTGTGGGGCCTGTGGCCCATCTGGCCTCTTCGCACAAGGGACCAAACTGAAACTCCGAGGTCCCCTCACCGATTGGTCATCGAGATCCTAGATGGGGAAGCTGGGGCCGGCACAGGGGCCCCAGGCTGCCCCAGGCATAGAGCAAAGGGGGGACCCAGAGGACATGGCAGGCTGCAGCCTTAGCGCCCCGGCCTGGCCGCCCCTCCTGGAGCCGTGGGTCAGCTGGGGAGTCCTGGCCGGGCATCTGACCAAGTGTCCCCCGGGGCAGGTACAACGAGGTTAATGCCATCAGCACCGCCTGCTCCAGTGGGGTTCCGGAATGCCAGACACTGGCGTCGAGCCTTTTCTCCCAGTGGATGGCTGACCCCAGTAAAAATCCGTGAGTGTCCCCTGGTCCTCCCCAATCTTCATTCGTCCCTCAAGCCCATAGCCCTGTCTCCATCAGACCTTGATCCCACCCGCCCTGCTGCTGCTCACGGCTGACCCCCAGCCCCTATATCCCATCCCCCACGCCAGGATCCACCCCAACCTGCGGTCCACCATCTACTGCAACGCCATCGCCCAGGGCGGCGAGGCGGAGTGGGACTTCGCCTGGGACCAGTTCCGAAATGCTACCCTGGTAAATGAAGCGGACAAGCTCCGCGCAGCCCTGGCCTGCAGCAAGGAGGTCTGGATCCTGAACAGGTGAGGGCCTGCGGGCACGGTGGGCGAGTTCCCAGCCTCACAGGGGCCTCCACACTCACCAGACTGCACAGTGGGGCAGGGTGTTCCCATTTCACGGATGGGCACACTGAGGCTCGGAAAAGCCAAGCAGCTTGCCCAAGGCCAAGAAGCTTTGAGGAGTGTTAGAGTCAAGATTCGAGCCCAAGTCTGGGCTCATGTCCTATGCTTTTTTCTTCTTTAAGTATTTCATTCTTCTTGTATTTTTATTTTATTTTATTTTTTATTTCAGAGAGGAAGGAAGAGGGAGAAAGAAACATCAATGATGAGAGAGAATCACTGATTGGCTGCCTCCTGCACACCCCCTACTGGGGAACGAGCCCCCAACCCGGGCATGTGCCCTTGACTGGAATCGAACCTGGGACCCTTCAGTCCGCAGGCCGACACTCTGTCCACTGAGCCAAACCTTCTCGGGCTCATGTCCTGTGCTTTTATTTTTTATTTTTATTTTTAAATATATTTTTATTGAATTCTAAGAGGAAAGGAGAGGGAGAGATAGAAATATCAATGATGAGAGAGAATCACCGATTGGCTGCCTCCTGCATGCCCCACACTGGGGATCCAGCCTGTAACCCGGGCATGTGCCCTTGACCAGAATCGAACCCAGGACCCTTCAGTCCACAGGCCAGTGCTCTATCCACTGAGCCACACCAGCTAGGGCTCATGTCCTGTGCTTTTAACTGCTGCAGCCTCGTAGCCTTTACTTGACAGTGACTCAGTTTCCCTCTCTGTGAAGGGCTGTGGCACAGCTGGACCTCAGTCCTTCTGGATGTCCAGACCAATCCCCAAGCCCTTGATGAGGGCCCCTGGCTCCCCCTGTGTGCCTCAGACGCCATCTCCTAGACCCCAGCAAAGCAGGACCACCCTCAGTCAAAGGCAGGAGTGGCCACCCTACATGGTACAGGGCTCGCAGCCCTTGTTCCTTCATTCCCTGTCAGATACCAGGTCCACGTCCGGCATGACACCTGGCCTATCCAGCGACCCTGCACAGGGCCCTCGAGGGCAGGCTCCTGTGCCAGCCTGGCTCTCTGCCGAGTCATCTGACTGCAGCCCTCGGACGTGGTCACTAACGCGGATCCTGCCCTCACAGGTACCTGGAGTACACCCTGGACCCCAACCTCATCCGGAAGCAGGACGCCACCTCCACCATCAGCAGCATCGCCGGCAACATCATCGGGAAAACCCTAGCCTGGGACTTTGTCCAGATCAACTGGAAGAAGCTCTTCAACGAGTGAGTCGGCTGAGAACATGTCAGGGGTGCCCTGAGGGTGGTCTTTGTGCACAGGACACGCGGGGCTGGGAGAGAGGGGTGAGCCCTGCGGAGGGGTGGGGGCAGCAATCGAAAGAGCAGATGGGGGACGGGCCGTCCCTTTTCCCACGTGGAGGGAAGAAAAAGTCAGGCTGGTAGGAGTGATGTCTGGAGAGACGGGAGCCAGGGCACCGTAGTGAAAGCTGTGTTCAGGCCCCCTTGGGTGGGCCGGTTCATCTCATCTACAAGATGGACCAATCACAGGGCGGTGGTGAGGATCCAGGGTCGCCTGTCAATCACTGAGTGCTAGCTCCCGCCCGCCTCACGGTGCATCTCTCTCCCTGACCCGCAGTTACGGTGGCGGCTCCTTCTCCTTCTCCAACCTCATCCAGGCCGTGACTCGACGGTTCTCCACTGAGCACGAGCTGCAGCAGGTAAGCAGCCCTGGGCCCCGGGGACCATCCGGGTCCGAGGGGGCGGCCACCACTCAGCTCCCTCCGAGTGAGGTCACAGGGCCGCGGGCTCCTTGTCAGCCCTCCTCACTGAGAAGGGAAGCTGGGTGTCCAGACTTTTTCAGTGGTGACAGTTCAACCCAAAAAGTTCTCTTGGAATTTTTGTAAAAGGAAAGAGGATAAAACCATGAACCTTCATAAACCCATCACTCAGAACACTTATCAACATGTCCCCGACACTTTGTGGGGGTGGATACATTTTCAGGCAAATCATTGATATTACGTAATTTCACCTCTAAATACTTTAGTCATATCTAAAACAAAGGAATTTTCAAAACATTATGCCACTGTTATTAGCAAACCCAAGAAAATGAATGGCCATCTTATACCCAGGCCATTTTCAAATTTTCTAAGTTTGTTTTTTTTAATTTCTGTTTGTCATTGATATGTTTGAATTCAGAAGCCAAAGTGAACTCATTGCCTTAGGTTGATTTGTCTTGTTTTTAAATTGAGATATAAAAAAAATTTTTTGAGATATAATTCCTGTATCATAAAATTCACCATTTTCAGCATATTTACAAAGTTGTGCAACCATTGCCACCATCTAATTCTAGAGCAGCAGTTCTCAACCTGTGGGTTGCGACCCCTTTGGGGTGTCGAATGACCCTTTCAAGTAGCAAAATTACGTTATGAAGTAGCAACAAAAATGATTTTATGGTTGGGGGTCACCACAACATGAGGAACTGTATGAAAGGGTCGAGACATTAGGAAGGTTGAGCACCACTGCTCTAGAGCATTTTTATTACGCCTAAAAGGAACCCCACACCCATTAGTCGTCACTCCTCATTCCCGTCTCCAGCCCCAGGCAATCACTAACCTATTTCCTGTCTCTATGGATTTGCCTCTTTGGACATTTCATACAATGGACACATACAGCATGTGACCTTTTGTGTCTGGCTTCTTTCACTTAGCATAATATTCTCAAGGTCCATCCATGGCGTAGCTCGCATCACTCCTTGTTAGGGCTGAGTCCTATTCCATTGTATGGATGTGCCACTTTTGCTAATCCATTGAGCGGCTGATAAACATTTGGGTTGTTTCTACCTTTTGGTTATTATGAATAACACTGTTATGAACATTCATGTACAAATTTTTTTTTTTTCATGTACAAATTTTTGAGTGAACACATGTGTCTTCATTTCTCTTGGGTCTGCACTGAGGAGTGGAATTGCTGGGTCATTTGGTAACTCTATGTTTAACTTTTTGGTAAACTGCCAAAATGTTTTCCAAAGCCAACGTACCAATTTACATCCCTGCCAGCAATGTACAACCAATTTCTTTTTCTTTTTTAAAAATATTTTTATTGATTTCAGAGAGGGAGGGAGAGAGTGAAACATCCATGATGAGAGAAAATCATTGATCAGCTGCCTCCTGCACACCCCTCACTGGGGACCGAACCTGCAGCCCGGGCATATGCCCCTGACCAGGAATCTCACTGTGGCCTCCTGGTTCATAGGTCGATTCTCAACCACCGAGCCATGCCGGCCCCGGCGGTGGTGTCTTTTGATACATAAGTTTTTTTTCTTTTGATGAAGGCCAACTTTCTTTTTTGTTGTTGTTGTTGCTTGTGCTTTTGGTGTCATATCTAAGAAACAGTTGCCAGATCCAAAGTCACCAAGATTTACACCTGTGCTTTTTACTAAGAGTCTTACCATTTGAAGTCTTGCATTTGGGACTTTGATAAATTTTTCCTTAGTTTTGTATACGGTGTAAGGTAGGGGTCCAGCTTCATTCCTTTGCATGTGGCTATCCAGTTGCCGACGCCCCGCTTGTTGAAAAGACTGTTCTTTCCCCATCAAATGGTCTTGGCACCCTTGCTGAGTATCAGCTGACCGTAAATGTGAGGGCTTCTATCTGGACTCTCAGTTCCATTTCATTCATTTATCTGTGCAGCCTTATGCCAGTACCACT